AGTGTGGGTAGAGAGAGGAGGACATTCTAGAAACTCAGAAGCAAGCTTTTCATAAACATTTGTTAAAGAATGAACAAGTCTTAGGGGAGGCTGCAAACACTGTGTGCCACAGAGGCTGGAAAATAAAGGATTTTATTGCAGAAGCATGATGTGATGAAGACTGTATGATAATTATGCTATTAGAATTAGAAGATGGATTTGAGAAAAAGATACTGGATGCTGATATAACCATTAGGGGGCCATTTTCAGATCAAAAAAGATGAGACATTTAATTGAGTCCTTAGCAGAATATAGGGAGTGAAGGCCAAATTGTCTGAGAAGCTGTTGATAATTTAAGCAATAGGTGTGATAAAGTTTCCTGTCTGGTTTGATATGAGGAGATGAGGGAAAACAAAGCTCTGAAGTTGTGGTCTGACCCAGAGGTATGTGAAATGGAACATAGGTGTGGAAAGGAAATGTCTGAAAATGAATATGTATTTAATTTTCACCCAGTTCAGTAAAGGGAAACAATTATATTTTACTAATGTCTATGCTTTGAAATATTGCAGCCATTTGACAAATTATTGTACTTATTCTGAAGTTTGATACTCAGAATATTCTAACTAGTAGGAATCTGATCAAAACCGTCTAGAAACCAGGGAGTGCTTTAAGGCTGTGGTTTCTAAACTTTTTAGTCTTGGGACCCTTTACACAATTTTATTTACAATGCCAAGAAGCTTTCTAATTAAGTGGATAGTACTTACTGATCTTCGGTCAAATTTTACTATATTAAAAGGTGAGCAATTTCAAAATACTTGTTTAACAACTTAAATAATAACAAGCAAAACATATGATAAAGAATTTTCTTTTCAAAACCAATTAACATTTAATTTAAAAAGTGACATTGTTTTACATTTTTTGCATGTTACTTCAATATCTGACTTCATAGACTATGTCTGGATTATCATATCCGCTCCATGGTTGATATATTTCTTTCTGTAATGCATTTTTTGACTGAAATAACGTGAAGAATACCTGATCTCATACAAAGTGTGAAAAGGGAAAGCTGTGCTTTTAGTAGCCTTTTCAGGTCATTGCTGTTATACCAAAATTCAATAAGTGATAGTTTTGCAAAGGCTAATTGCAATATGGAGCCTGATACCACATCAATATACTTTTTATACTTTGTTGCATTTATTTATTCTGTACTTTAAATAAATCATCATTGTGGCCTAATTTGAAACATCATGAATTGGTTATTTGAAAAATATTCATTCACTTATTCAACTTAAAATTTTTGATCCATTTTATTATGCAGCATCAAAAAATCAACAATGCAACAGTCCCACCAGAAAAATCTTTATTTATTGGGAAGCTGTCAAATTCATTGTGATGGAGCTATCGGTTTTCCAAAGTCTTAACTTTTGCTAGAAAATTTGAATTCTTATCATTGGAAACAACTATTGTCAGTTGTTCCCTTGTTAGTTTCTCTTCATGAAAATAATAGCTAAATACTCTAAATATCCATAGTTTGTCTGACATTTTGTCAAATACAAACAGGGTTAGGTTTTTGTTGTTTTTTTTTTTTTAAAAGGTAGTTATTTTAGCTGTCTATTAAAACAATTACAGAAAGTCCTTTTCTTTGCAACAATTATAATTTTGAAGCAGCTTCAAAATTTTAATGATTTGTTTTTACTGTGGTGTGAGTGTGTGGTGTTGAAGCATTAGAAATAGTCCCAGTTTTGGCTCCAGTAAATACTGTGATTTCGGCTAAGGCTGTTGAAGATTTTACCCACCATCTCTTTTGTGCCATTAGCATAAATGTGAATGCCATAAAAAAAAGCAGAGAACAGAACATGTTAATATTATTATGAATTTAGTTTTGATTTCACAAACTCCATGAAAGATCTTGGGGACCTCTCTAATAAAATCATAATCTTATCTGAAATCTATGACCTTGAAATATTTTTTTTCAAAAGCTCTTTTTAGCCTAAGGTCAATAGTTTAAAAGTTGCTGTTTCAACTTTTCTGGCATTGACATTTAGTAATCAGAAATGTCTTTTTCTTTTGTCCCTAATATCTAACATTTGACAGAGCCTTGACAACCAAATCACAGAAAAATAAATTCATTCCCCCTCCAAGGGCTTTCTGAAGTGTTTTCCTAGTTAAGGGTGACATTTTTTTGACTTCACAAAATTCATTGTTCAGAAGAGTTTTTATTCCATGTCTTGAAGTGTCATATATAGTAATGACAACTGCATACACCAATCCAAGTCATGTTTTAGTGACAGTGATTTCCTTTAAATCATATAAAAGACTGCCTTATTCCAAAGGTTATCTTAAAATGTAATAGTTTTAATATATCTTATTTCTTTTTAAAATTAAATATATATATTTTACATCATTGTTCATTTTTAAACAATATTTGCCACCCCCGCCCCCGCAGTCCCCATAGGATTTCCTCCCCCAGTTCATGCACCATCATCACAGTTCCCTGTGCTCCCCCCTCCCTCTTTCAGATCCTTCTCCCTGCCTTCCACTGCAGGGTGTCTCTGATTTATAATTGTCTGTTTGTTTCGTTGTGTTGTGTTTTGTATTGCTATTATTTCCCCCTGATGTCTTATTTGGTTCCTTTAGATTCCTCCTATAAGTGAAATCATCCAGTATTTTTCATTTTCCTTCTTACTTATTTCACTGAGCATAATTCCTTTGCGCTCCATCCATGTTGCTGTGAATGGCATCAGTTTATCTTTTTTGATTGCTAAGTAGTATTCCATTATATATATATACCACACATTCTTGATCCAATCATCTATTTTTGGGCATTTGGGTCATTTCCAGGTTTTACCTATTATAAATAGTGTTGCAAAAACATAGGGGTCAGGCATTCTTTTGAATCAATGCTTTTGTATCCTTTGGGTAGATTCCTAAAATTGGGTCATATGGAAGCTCCATTTTTAGTATTCTGAGGTACTTCCATACAGCTTTCCATAGTGAGGGACAGTTTGCACTCCCACCAGCAATGAAGGAGAGTTCTTTTTCATCACATCCTCGGCAACATTTGTTGTTACTCATTTGTTTTGATATGTTCCTTTCTTTTCTATGTAAGGTAGTATCTCATTGTGGTTTTAATTTTCATTTCCCTCAATATGAGGGATGTTGAACGTTTTTTCATATGCCTGTTGGCCATTTGCATTTCCTCTTTGGAGAAGTGTCTTCTAAATTCTTCTGCCTATTTCTTTTTTTTTTTTAAGATTTATTTATTTATGCATACAGAATTGGGGTACAGGCCAGAGGTGCTGGGGTGGTGAGAGGACTCACCAGAGACAGAGTGGGGAGCACAGTAGGCAGACTGACGAAGTACACTACTGAGGTGAGCAGCTGGAGAGACAGGATGGGTCTGCTGCACCATGTGGGTCACCTCCCTGGCCAGGAATTGAACTCTGAGTTGGCTGTGGTGAAAATGCTGCATCACCAGGGAGGGTCCCCAGTGTCTATTTCTCAATGGAATTGTTTACTGTGTTTTTGTTGAGTCGTGTGAGTTCTTTGTATATCTTTGTGTATCTCATTTCTTTAAGAAGATGATTCATGTTTTCTGAGTCCTAGGTTATGTCTACAAAGCAAAGGTCCTCAGGCAGGTCTTCTGGGCTTCTCTGCTCATGTCATGACAACAAAATTCTTATTTGTCAGTCTTTTTCTTTTTCTTTTAGATGCATACTTAGGAGTAAAATGTTGTGATGTCTTCATTTAATTTAAAATGTCTTCACACACTAAATGTTGGAAACAAGTACAATAAAATATATTAACAAGTGTTCAGCTGCAGTGGTGATCAAATGCATGTGGTTGTTTGCTGCACTCTTCTCTACTTTTCTGAAAATTTCAAATTCATTTGTAACTAAAAATACCTTAGAACTAGCTTCCCTTTCTTGAGACACAAGGGTAGAATCTTTAGAGCTTCTCTGAGGCTCCTATTTGTTAGCTTTGTCTTTTCCTTCTTATTAAATAATCGATATTTACAAAGTTTTCCTCTAGCATCCAACTTACAGCTTTCTTCTGCAACATCATTTGTTCTAGAGGATCACTCTGGAGGAACAATATATATAAATCATAATTTAAAAGTTATAATTTTAGCATGGGATCATTAAGTAAATAATGCACATCATTTTCACTACTTTTATTTGCTACCTGGACTACGATTTAAAAGAATACATGGACTCAATGACTCTACTGTGTGAGTACCATAGGAAATTAGTACTGATGGGATGTGCGTGCTAGCAAAACAGCTTGGGATGATGAAGGGAATTAAAAATATATATTTTTTGCGAGCTTAGGGAATGAACATTGTTGAGTGAGGGCAGAGACTTGGTAGAAAGATGGAGATATCTAAAGGGCAGGTTTATTTAAATTTTGTTAGTTGGTGTGTAATTTATTATTTTCTTACCTCCCATTAATGTCTTTGTACTTTTTTTTTTTTAAGATTTATTTATTTATGCTTACAGAACTGGGGTACAGGCCAGAGGTGTGGTGGGTAAGAGCATTCACCAGAGACAGAGTGGGGGAGAGGACAGGCAGATTGACAAAGCACACTGCTGAAGGGAGCAGCAGTTGGATCAGGAGAGGTCTGCCACGCCATGTGGGCCATCTCCCTGGCCAGGGATCAAACTCATGCTACAGTGGCTTTGGAGAGCTTCATAATGCGATGCTTTAACCCGTTGTGCCACCAGGGAGAGCCCATGTCTTTGTACTTTTAAAAAATGTGTTTCTATATTAACTTTTAAAGTCTTAATTTAAATTTTTATTATTTATTCATGCTTTAGAAATAAAAAAATGTTTTTGGCCTGTCCAAATGTGTCCATTAGAGCTTTAAAACTAACATTGCAAGGACCTAGGAATCCTGACTCTGAGTAGTTTTATCCTTCAGCAGGAGTATCCTGTTGAAGATAATTATTCCTTTCCTTTTCTTTACTTGCATTAAAGTAATATAATCTGTCTTAATTTATGTGACATCTTTTTATGTTTAGGTCTTGGATGTGGTTTATTATACACTGCCACAGTGACCATTACGTGTGAGTATTTTGACAGCCGCCGAGGCCTTGCACTTGGCCTGATTTCAACAGGTATGTTTTCAAAAATGAGTACAACATTATTATTAGTTTTTTTTTTAAATATTCACTTATTTATTCATGTAAGAATTGGGGTACAGGCCAGAGATGCAGGGGCAAGGAGGGTGGTGAGAGGATCCACCAGAGACCATGTAGGGAACAGAACAAGCAGACTGACTGAAATACACTGCTGAGGGGAGCAGTAGACAGGACCGGAGAGGTCTGGCCAGGGATCAAACAATGGATAGCTTCATAGTGCTGTGCTTTAACCTCTTGTGCCACCAGGCAGGCCCCAACTTTATCATTAGTTAAACTTCTAACCAAAGTTAAAGTTACAAAGCACAAAGATGCTTAACCAACCACTTCCTATGTACCACTGTGGTAGTACCATTTTAGTATTCTAATCCTGGAAGGAAATCTTATTCTCCACCATAAATAGGGGCATAACAACAACAACAAAAAATCCTAAATACATGTATGATTTTAGATTTCCTAGAAAAAGAAAACTATCGGCTCAGTAAATTGAGAATCACATACTGATAAAAGCCTTATTAAAAGAAGCAGAGAGCAGTTACATAAAACACCTTATTTCTGAGAAAGATAGGAAAAATGGAAGAAAAATGAAGACCTCCAAGGCTACTCTCAGAAGCTAATTCTGATTTTTCCACCTGTGTTTATTATGGAAATTACAAATTTTCTAAAATGCTGATTTATAAATATGTCTTACTGGCTTATGTGACTATCCAAATGATAGTCTGTTTATTCTTACAATTTTAATAATCAAGAGATGATTATTGAGGGGGTGAAATACACTGCTGAGGGGAGCAATGGGCAAAACAATAGAGGTCTGCTGTGGTATGTTGGTTAGCTCCCTGGCTGGGGTTAAACTCAAGCCACATTGGCAGGTCAAAGCTTGATAACACTGAGACTTAACCCCTGCACTGCCAGGAAGGCCCAATATTCACATTTATTTATGCATACAGAACTGGGGTACAGGCCAGAGGTTCATAGGTAGTGAGAGGATTCATCAGAGATAGAGTAGGGAGCAGAACAGGCCAACTGATGAAGTACACTGCTGAGGGGAACAGTGGGTTGGTCAGGAGATGTCTGCCATGCCACGTGGATCAACTCTGGGGTGGGATTGAACTCATGCTGAAGTGGCTTTAGCTTCTTAGTGCTGTGTTTTAACCCGCTGCGCCACCACAGAGGGCCGTATGTACCACTTTTTAAGAGATGTGGAAGGATTAAATTTTCTTTTATTATTTCTTAATAGTTGGCAAAGAGATGCTTTTTTATTGGTCATATAAAGTTACTATTTTAGTGGCAATTACATTAATATGAGCTACAAATTATTTGCATATAAAGTTTTTTGGGGGGCATGAAAGAGTTAACTTTTTAAAATGTTAGGAGGGGACTGTTGATGGTCTTAAAGAAGGATGTAATTTTATCACTCCACAATAGGACCATTTGGTTTTCTGTAAGATTTTTTTTGATAAGATGACTATGGCAAGCAAGGCACCCTCTTGGGGTTATGATGCAACTTGGTATAGACCACTTAAAAAGTATGATCAATTTACCTAGACTATTTTTTAAAAACAAATTTACTTATTTCCTTCTTGCTTTTTCACATGGCAATTTTCAATATTAAATTTGAAACTACATTTAAAAAATTGAAATCTGAGCATTTGAGAATACTACTCATATAAACTTGCCATTCCAGTGTTTTTAGTGTTAAGCTGTGCTAAAAAGGTGGAGAATATTTAATATTGTACAGGTGTACAAATTGAACCATATTTGGTAATTTAAATACCATATCAAATTCTAATCTATTCTTCTATTAGTTTATTAATATAAGCCACTTATTCTGGTAATTTTGCAATGGATTTGAACTATTAAATCTTTGTAATTATTCTAAAATTAAATATTCTTTTTTAAAAAAGTTTTATTTATTTTATGCATACAAGAACTGGGGTGTAGGTGTGGGAGTTGAGAGGATTCACCAGAAATAAAGTGGGGAGCAGAACAGGCAGAGTGACTGAAATACACTGCTGAGGGGAGTGGCGGGTGAGACAGGAGAGGTCTGCTGCACCCTATGAGTCAGCTCCCTTTGCGGGGATCAAACATTGCAGTGCCTGCAGATAGCTTCATAGTTCTGCAACTTAACTTCTTGAGTTAAGAAGGCCCTAAAACACATTCTTCATCTCAAAAATGCAACATGAGATTCTGCTTTTACACAGGGAATAAATATACTATGAGGAGCCTGGAGAACCACGAGTGAAAAAAAAAAAAAAAGAGTAGTTTAAGGTATTTGTTCAGAATATGGGCTCCTGGAGTCAGACTAATCGAGTGCTACTCCTACTCATGCCATTAACAATGTTGTCATCTGGCAGATTTCTCAACCTTTCTAGCCCTTGGTGTTGCCCTGTGTAGATAGGAAGTAATATCATCATAAGGCTTAAACAAGGTTAACATGAAATGTTTTACACAGTATCTGAATTATACATGCTAACTCTTAAATATTATACCATATTTACTATTATTTTTATTATCACTCTTTTACTCTTGTGATTTTAATATAAAAGCAGACATGAATGCTAGTGTCAAAAGACAAATTGTCATACTAATCATGCTTGTCCCAAGATTCGTAAGGCTGAACAGCTCCTATTTTTTTTCTAGGTTCAAGCGTTGGCCTTTTTATATATGCTGCTTTGCAGAGGTTGCTGATTGAATTCTATGGACTGGATGGATGCCTGCTGATTGTGGGTGCTTTAGCTTTAAATATATTAGCCTGCGGCAGTCTGATGAGACCTCTCCGGGCTTCTAATTGCCCTTTGCCTGAAAAAACAGCTCTGGAAAATGTACCAGGTGGCTATTCCATTTACAATGAAAAAGAAAAGAATTTTGAAGAAAACATAAACATTCTTGAGAAGAGTTACAGTAGTGAGGAAACATACAAGAGCAGCTTAGCTAATGGTGACTGGAAACAAGAGAATATTCTTCGTAAAAACCAAACTACAGCACACACAAAAGAGACTGAAACATACAAAAAGAAAGTGGCAGAACAAACTTATTTTTGCAAACAGCTTGCAAAGAAGAAGTGGCAATTATATAAAAACTACTGTGGAGAAACTGTGACTCTTTTTAAAAACAAAGTCTTCTCAGCACTCTTCATTGCTATCTTTCTTTTTGACGTTGGAGGATTCCCACCTTCATTACTTATGGAAGATGTGGCCAGAAGTTCAAACGTGAAAGAAGAGGAGTTCATTATGCCTCTGATCTCCATTATTGGGATTATGACAGCAGTTGGTAAACTGTTTTTGGGGATACTGGCTGACTTCAAGTGGATTAATACCTTATATCTTTATGTGGCTACCTTAATTAGCATGGGCCTGGCCTTATGTGCAATTCCATTTGCTAAAAGTTATGTCACGCTGGCAATACTTTCTGGGATTCTAGGATTTCTTACTGGTAATTGGTCCATCTTCCCATATGTGACCACAAAGACTGTGGGAATCGAAAAGCTAGCCCATGCTTATGGGATATTAATGTTCTTTGCTGGACTTGGAAATAGCCTCGGACCACCAATTGTTGGTAAGATATTTATCTTCAAGTCAACCATTTTACTGTTCCTTGGAAAATCTCTAGTGTTCAGATTGTAATAATAACACAGATTTGTACAAAATAAATTTGCATGGACTATCTCCTGGTAATGATTTATTCAAAATCACTTTGATATGGTTGAAAAAGCCAATAGGCTTGCTCAGAGAATTGTGTTTATTCTGTCTTTGGAAGAAACTCAAACTGCTTAATTTTGTCCAAATGTTTGAGTCTCTTCTAACTCCCCATAGGCCACTTTGGAAGTAAATGGGGTAATGTGCACCTTAATTCTAACTGTCTATAAAATTGATGAAATGATAGTAGGAGTTTCACAGTCATGATTTTTATCAAACTCATGTTTTTTTCCCTTACTCTCTTTTCAGGTTGGTTTTATGACTGGACCCAGACTTATGATATTGCATTCTATTTTAGTGGTTTCTGTGTTCTGCTGGGAGGATTTATTCTGCTGCTGGCAGCCTTGCCTCCCTGGAATACATGCAACAAGCAACTCCCCAAACCAGCGCCAACAACGTTTTTGTACAAAGTTGCCTCAAATGTTTAAAGAAATATTGGAAGACACTACAAGACTGTTTTCTCCTAGAAAGTTTCACTGTGGCTGACTCTGAATGAATTTTTTTAAAACATGTCCCATTCTTTATGTACTGTATACATCGTCTCTATCTCCTGTAATTTTTTTTTGAGAAGTGGGAGTGTCTTGTTTTACTGTAATTCATGAATCCTTAACATGGCAGAAGTGTTGGCCAGCCTCAGAAGCCTTTCTCTGTGTAAAAGAAATATTATTTCTCTATAGACTCCATTAGTTCCATTGCAAAACAACCAGAAAGGACGTTGCTATTTTAAAACTGAAGCTAGCCACACAAGGAGATATGAGAGAAGTTCTCCGGGGACTAAATCACTCTCTTCTCTCTGTTAGACTAGGACGCTAAGTAAACAGAGGACTCTAAGCCAGTCAGGAAATGAAAGTGGTTCCTAAAACATTATGATGAATTGCAGTGGAGCAAACAGATCATTTCTGGAAAAGATATTTTAAATTCCAGTCACCAGTTTTCATGATTCTATTTTACTTACTTTGATTAAGCACCCATGTGTTGTTTGGTGCCATGGAGCATGAACAGCTTCAATCTGTAAGGTGTTTTTGAGCAGTAGGCAATCTCCAAACAGAGCAGTAGTCACTGTGACCCATCTCCATGGTTAGCCACTGTCACCTCATCACCTCGCTCACTTATGTTGTCAGTGTTCACTCAACTGATGTTTCCCAGGAAGTGCTGATTCTACCTGTTTCCAAATTGGAAATGCATATTTAAACCATTCCATTCTGGCACGTGGAAATATCCATTTGCTTTGAGCACAGTGGTGATGAATTGTTAAGTCCTTGTATAGCTTCTCAATGAAGCTTTTATTTGCTACTATCAGATTTTACCACTCTTAAATTTTAATTCAAAAGCAGAACTAAAAATGTGTGAGTGCATCTGCATATGAGCATGTGTGTGTGGATGTGTGTGTGTTAACATGTGTGTTGTACACAGTCTGGTGGGACATGGGGAGGGAAAAGGACAACAGAAATTGAAACCCTGATCAAAATTCCCTCAATCTTAAAAAAATATATAGGAAGGAAATCAATGTTTAATAAATGGACATTCTTTTTAAACTTTGTATCAGAATCCCCTATATAGATTCTTAAAAGAAATATAATTGTCTGAGATTTTAATTCTGTATGTCTAGGCTATGTTAAATCTCTGTTAGAGATTTTAATTCTGTATGTCTAGACTGTGATTCAAGCATCTGTATTTTTAATGAGCTCTTTAAGTGATTCCGGTAACAAAGCCTGGACTGTGAATGACTGTTGAAAGATTGGTGGACCCTCCCTGGTGGCACAGCAGGTTGGGGTGCTGCACTGCGAAGTGGCCACTTCAGTGTGAGTTCGACCCCTGCCCCAGAGGTGATCCACGTGGTGGAACAGACCTCTCCTGTCTCGCCCGCTGCTCCCCTCAGCAGTGTACTTTGTCAATCTGCCTGTTCTGCTCCCTACTCTGTTTCTGGTGAATCCTCTCACTGTACCTCTCTGGCCTGTACCCCATTTCTGTATGCATAAATAAATAAAATCTTAAAAAAAAGGAAAATTGGCAATGGAGAAAAAAATATTCTCCTAAATAAAAAACAAAGCAACAATAAACCACTGAGCTAAGGGGTTTTTATAATAGCAGGTATGGTTCTTACATAGGAGGCACACTTCTCATGGTGCCAAAATTGTCTTTTCATTTCTTTTGAAATACATAAGGTTATATTTTATACTTCTATTTTGCCTTTCTTCAAAGGCACCTGAAGCACTTTATAAGCATGAATCCCCACAGCACCTCAGTGAGGTAGGCAAGTAGTGCTTTTCTATGCAGTAAATCTGGGGAATTTTTTTAAACTGAGTTAATCCTACTTAATAATGCAGTCATGGAGCTCCAAGGTACCTTGGATTTCTGCTCCCACTCAGACTTCTGAAAAGTTTTCTGTACCTCATTCTTTAGTCACTGTCAATATAAACATATAAAATAAAATGCACTTTTGTGTTGTAAGTTCCTTTTTGCCAATATTAAGTTCAGGAAATCCAATAACCTGAAAAAGTTTAACATTTGTGATATCCCACATTCATCAGTGTTCATAACTGTCCAAATGCCGCTTCACATTGTCTACTAATGTCATCCAACGTGTGCACTATATCCGTTGTCTTGGGAATGAATTTTAAGTTACAATAAATATCTTGTGTTTGTTTTGCACCAGTTTGGTTGCTTTTTCTCTTCTTAACCTTCACTCCTCCACCAAATTACAATGATGCGTCCCTTGGTGAAGAGTACATACTATCCGGCGCTCAATTCAGACTCCAGAATTTTATGATTATACATTAGCATATTCAAAAGTCAATTTGCCAAACTACTCTGACCATTGCCTTCAAAAAAGCTAATATGTGACTTCAGAAAGCCCATTGAGGAAAACAGGACAGATTACTCTTAGAGACCCTTATTCATGTTTTCACCATCATCAGTGGAGTTTTTAATATTTCCAAGTCCATCACATTATTTAACTCTCATATTAGCCCTCTGAGTTAGAGGTTAAAATTCTCATTATATGATAGGAGACATAATTGTCATGAAAGGACAATATATTATCCAAGTAAATGTAATTTCCAAACAAAAATGAGAATGATTTCTAGTAAATGCTTTGATTTCTAACATGTTTAGAACATGGGCCCTAGCTGCGAAGTGTGATATTAAGCCAATCTTTTATTGAGTAGAGAAGTCATGTTTATGTAAATAATTACTCAGGACTTGCCTGCTTCCTAAGAATCAGCATCTGAAGAACATACCTTACAATAGCATCATATTGATTAGCATGTAATATTACTTTTGTGATACAAAAGACACTTTCTGATATTCTGAACACTTGATACTGAGTTGGGGCAAGGTATGAAGTAAGGAGGCATTACAGAAACCCTGACCCCTGACTTGTTTTACACCTCCCCAATTCTTTCAGCCTCCTCCCCATCTCTCTACCTCTCTGACTCTCTGTTTCTTTCTCTAATGAGTCGCCTAGGAATCTGCTGATGATCTAATTTTCTCTAGGGTCACCATGTCATCAAGGGAGAAGGTTCAGTCGCCAACTTTTAAAGGCCCCATGAGGGACAATTTCCAAGACCAGGAGTTCCAGCACAGGGAAGTCATGACCCAAAGGTATTTGTTCATGTGCTGTCAGAAAGTCCCATGACCTGATAGCCTCAACTTCTAGCAAGATATAGAGGTCTTAACTCAGAAAGCTCTATTTTGAAAACATTATTTCATTTTTTTTTTGAACTTAGAACTTTATATTGAATGCAACTATTACATTAGCAGTATTATACAATTTCTCCTTTAAACACAATCTTGCTGCACAGTTGTGTGAAGAACTCTTGGGAGTAAGGAATTTAACCATAATCAGTTAAAATGATCAGAGATCAAGAATACATGGATCATGTTCAGAGGTACAGTATACATACTTATTAATGTTGTGATTCCTGGACCTCCCTTGCGGCACAAGGGGTTAAATCTCAGCAATATAAAGCTATCAGCAGCTACTATAGCATGAGTTTGATCCCCAGCCAGGGAGGTAACCACCATGGCACAGCAGACTTCTCCTGTCTCACCCACTACTCCTGACTCAGCAGTGTATTTCAGTAGATCTGCCATTTCTGCTCCCTACTCTCTTGGGTGAATCCCCTCACCTCCCCCACCTTCCACCTCTGGCCTGTACCCCAGTTCTTCGATGCAAAATAAATAAAGTAAATCTTAAATAAATAAATAAAGTAGTGATTCTATCATTAGATTGCCTGAGCTCAAATCTTAGCCTGGTTTCTGTGGTTAGATGATATGAACAAACTATTTAGCCTCTCAATGCCCCTGTTTTCTCATTTGTCAAACATGTCAGAGAGCTTTTGTGGGAATTAAGATAATCCATGTATAATTATTATTATATAACATATTATATAATCCATATATAACTATTATTATTTTTGCTGTCTTACTATATTATGTGTGACTTCTCACACTTGATGGGGCTATTAAAGTTTCTTGGGCACAGGTATGGGGTAAATATTAGTGTTGCAAAAACTTGTTTAGAAAAAGAACAGGGAGCCTTCTATTACCCCAGTTTCTACAGCTGTAGCAGCTCTTGCTCTCATCTAAGCATGTTCTTGTCAAGACCTTTTTCCTTGGAGATTTACAACTCAGCACATTTTCCTGGCACTGCCATTCAGAAGCTGTGACACAAAACCAAACATGGTGTTCCTCTACAAATCAAATGGAATCCACTTTGTAAATTGAGTTGCTATGGGAATTTGAGCTCCTTTTTCTCTTAAGAGCTCATCATCAGAACTATCTGGAAAATGAACCTAAAAATGGCAGAAAGCAAATGCTCCCATTTGTTTATTGAGCACGAATTGGCTACAGCTCAGTGCTTTTCTCTCGCTGCTTTCCCAGTATGCCTTTGAGCTTCCTCTTGAGAGGGTGCGGTTCCTTGCCAGGCCTTCTGGGATTCTATCCCTTGCAGGGCTCACGCACATTGGTTGCTTGTTACTAGGTGCATACCTTGTCCTGAAAAGTCACTCACTTGCATTTTCTCTCCTTGCAAAAACATTAAAATACCTATTTAAAAATGTTAATTGGTGTTTTCATTAATCAGTGTTTTTCTAAATAATTTTAAAAAACTTTGATAAACATCATAATTTTAATAAAGAATTATGAACTGTGGCCGAGGTGCTGCCCCACTGAGTCCCTTTAAAACTACATATGGTAGAGACCTAGCTTTGTGTTTCTTCCTGGACAAGTTCCTAATATGATAAGGCAAATTGTTATTCTTCCAGCTTAGAGCTGAAAACTCCTAAACAACTTTAATAGGGCATTTCTGAGAATAGCTCAAAAGATTCTAAGACTGTAAAAATAAAAGGGACGAGGTGGGACATACTATATCAGCCTTTACGGATGATGGTGTAGGTTATCAGCTCTGTCTGCAGCTCTTCTGCTTATTGTTTTAGGGTAGCGGGAAGGCGCCATTTTGAGAACTCTTGGGAAGCCCCTGTGCCTGAGGGAAATACATCTCCCTGAAGGTTCGTAGTGCACCAGGGCTTTGTGGAAAAGTTATTTGAGGTGAGTGCTGCACTACACACGGGATGAGCTGGCTTCCTCAGACAGAACCATAGCGTGTTGGTTTGTGATGAAAAAGGTAATAAATACATGGAACTCTTTGCCGGAAACTGGAAACAGCTATAACTTCCAAGGGGAATATTAGCCAGTCACTAAAGGAGAGACATATGCAGGAACAGGAGCCCTGTTCTCAAAGTTGGAAGGTGTGACCCAAGGAAGGGTGACAGTAGCAGCATCAGGGAGCCCAGCTCAGTTGGAACAGGAAGGGATGACCCAAAGGAACCTAGAAAAAAATACTTCTCAGGAAGATCTTGTTTCATGACCTGTATGCCAATCTTTCTAGAAAGATCTGAAAATTAAAAACTTAAGAGTTGCTCTTAAGTAAGAAGCAGTTTAGACTTCTTTAGAAAGTTCAAAGTGGAGGGCCCTCCCTGGTAACCCAGCCGGTTAAGGCAGAGCACTGCAAGCTGGCCGCAGCTACTTCAGCTTGATCAAGTTCATCCCTGGCCAGGGAGATGACCCATATGGCAAGGCAGACCTCTCCCGTCTCATCTCCTGCTCCCCTTAGCAGTGCCTGTTCTGCACCCCACTCTGTCTCTGGTGAATTATCTCACTGCCCCTGCACCTTTGCCCAGTATCCCAATTCTGTATGCATAAATAAATAAATAAATCTTAAAAATAAAAAGAAAGAAAGTTCAATGTGGAAATAGAGGAGTTCAGTGTTTAGTTAGGTAATAAGCAAGAAATCTGCAGGAAATCTGGTGGAGGTCATTATAATTATCCAGTAAGGTGGACATTAAAGGTAGGTGGTAAAAAGAAAACAGCCTTGCAGAGGGGAACAAACACAGAGTTGAAAGGAGCAGACTGACTGCCAGAGAGGTCAGAGGACAGTGCCAACATGCCAACTATTGGACTGGACTTTCCATTTCACTTAGTAGTCATACCTTCCTTCTATCTATTCCAATAGGAAGACAAATTATAATCCGAAGGTATTTGAGGTACCTGGGATCAGAGCCATGGTGGCTTGTTGAGAGATTTGAGTGTCTAATAACATTATACATCCTGGTTCAACCACTGCCATTCTAGGAAACTGCCTCTGGCCATTGCACAGTTGAGTACACACAATGTTTGCTGAATGGCACTTCTCTTGTAAAGGTACCATGACTGACCAGTTCCTGGTAGGTTAGTACCTTTAATCAGGCTATAACCAAGGGCTGATAGTCAGAGCCACTGTGCAGATGTAGCTCAGGGGTGCTACATTTGATT